AAATTACATACGACTATGCTTGCAGGTAAAACACTTTCTACAATTTCCCTACAAAAAGATATACACAGGAAAACAATGAATAACTTCCAAGCCCAAGAAATGTTTTTGATGAAGTGATGTATTACAATCAGATTGTCATACAAATAAATCTACTGCATTCTTCAGCTATTAATTCTCACTTATATACTTTTCTACATTTACCCCAATGACATCTGTCCACCTTACTTACACATTTTTTCCTGTAAAATTAAAATATGATGTGCCTTATTTTCTAGTTTCATGTATCTGCTTTCCCTTCCTACATGTAGCAAAGTTAGACATCAATCCTCTAAGTGGGTCAGATTGCAATATTTATATCTGTGCGTTTCTAAAGTTGCAAGAACAGAAGTTCAAATAAGGAAAATGAACTTGACAAATTACTGTTATTTGGTGTCACTTGCATACTTTTACCTTTACTTAACCCAATGCCGATGGGCATGGCATTTACATACATGGCTTGTCCGCTGTGAGTTTAGTTTGTTAATTATATTTACACATAGATGGCTATACTTGTACTAAGTCACCAATGAGCCAATTTCGAGCCTGTCTTGCCTGTTTACCCTTTTCCTTGATTTACAAAAATATTTTACATTAACTTATTTTGCTGTTACTAATGTTTACAACATTATACTATTATAGTAATTATAAAGTCAATAAAAAAATAACATCACAGCATTAGTAAAAAACATGTTTTTTCGTCAGTTCGAGGGAAGGTGAAATTAGGTAAGGTCACAAGGTCTACTAACTGACTCCTTTGTGGCTAAGCACTAGCAGAGCCATCTATGTGCAGCGACATTTCACAAAAAAAAAAAAAAAAAAAAAAAAAAAAAAAAAAAAAAAAAAAAAAAAATTAAAAATGAGCACAGCATTTTCCCCAGCAGCATGTGGTTACTTCAAATGCTTTGTTTCAACCTCAATTCCAACAACTTCCAATTCCCAAACAACACCTAATCGCTGATGAAAATGCAGTTCCTCATTCAGAACTGAAGAAGAAGAAGAGGAAGAAAAGGAAAGAAGAAGAGGAAGAAAAAGAAAAGAAGAGGAGGAAAAAGAAAAGAAAAAGAAAAAGAAAAAGAAGAATAAGAATAAAAATAAGAAAAAGAAAAAGAAGAAGTAAAAAAAAAGAGCTCTCTCTAATGTTCATTATCATTCCACTTACACTAGTTAGAATTTGAAAATAAATGAATGAATGAATGAATGAATGAATAAATAAATAAATAAATAAATAAATAAATAAATAAACAAACAAACAAAAGAGCCAAAACAATATACAATACTACTACAATCCATCTTTGCCATGTTTTGTCATGTTCACTGCAGTTCTGTTTTGTGAAATGTCTCTACATAGATGGCTCCACAAGTGCTTAGCCACCAAGGAGTCAATTAGTAGACCTTGTGACTTTACTTGATCTTATTTTTCCTTCAGTTTATTCTTTCTTTTTCTTTCTTTTTTTTTTTTTTTTTTTTTACAAATGCAATCAACAGCAACACTATTACCATTGTTATAGACATTATATCATTATAATGCTATTGACATTCCCAACAGCAATGCATGATCAAGTAAATCAAGGAAAAGAGTGAAAAAATGAGATAGGAAGTGCTAGTTATCTCCTTGGTGACTAAGCACTTGTGGAGTCATCTTTGAATAAACAAACTAACTCACAGTTGGCATTGCATGTATACGCATGCCATTCCCGGCTTCATTTTCCATTAGAAATTAAGGTATACCTAATTAGAATTTTGGATACATCTAGTACATGGTAAACAGCACATACAATGGCCAGATCAATAATTTCTAATACATTTTTCTTCTATGTCATAGATGTTATAGATTCAAAATAAAACACCTAGAAACACAACTGATCTTTCATGAATAATGATGTTTCAAGAGTGTGTTTACATGTTGCTTCTCCATAAGATTTGTCATTAATCCATTCATGCTAGGATGATGTCCTATCATATGATGTTTAATCCTAGGATGACATACTCATGTCATGCATGGTCTTGCATCTCTAAGTTGTTCACTCTAAACAGTTATGTGCTTGTTTGGCAGATATAGCCCCTCAAAAGTAGGATTAAAACCTCTCTGTAGCATTTTTACCTAAATGATTGTTTGTGCAGCAGCCAAGAGCATAGCGAACAAGACGATTTTATGTTACCCATGCTTCTATTTTTTCCCTCTGGTAGCTGACTCCCCTTGCACCACAATGCATTATTCAGTATATTAAAAAATTTCAATTTTCAATTTGCAACAGAAAGGAAATCTCTTAAAATTCATTGAATCTACCCATTTTTCACATTGTCCCACTTCTAACATACAAATGTTCTTCATTATAATTCTGCCCAAGTATATCACATTAAGAGAAATCTTGACTACCTAAAGCTAAAATTCTCTGTCAGTATATGCTTACTAAGACGAATCAGGAGCATTTAAATTTTCAATACAAAATAGTTCAAGTAAATGAATGAATGAAATAAAGATAAAGAAAGCTTAGCTTTCCCTGAACCTTCTTTTCACTTTCTGGGCAAGAAAAACAACTATTTAAACTAAATGAACACTTCAACCATAATATTGTTGCCTAACCTAGCCTAATACTTAATAACCTATAATTCCTCCCTAGAGGGAGGTTTACCCCCCATGGGCCCCAAACAATTACCACTTTTTGGTATATCAATCACAATATGCATCATTCATTCACAGGCCTACAGTCAAGATAATGAATCCCATACTAAAGCATCTGATAGACAATTTTTGTAGGAATTCCACATTTACTTCCCTTCTAAAGACCACTTCTCAAGGTCAGTACTATATACTGTCTCTTGAATACTGTTTTTATTTGGCAAAACCAAAGTAATCCACAATTTAATATCTATATTTAGTGTGAAAAGTGCTACATAAAATTTCAGTTCTGTACAAAATCTATATTGTCGACAAGGTTAACAATAATAACAAGGATTTGACATATTAATGAATTTAAGGATATATTTCCCCCCTAACATAATTCCTACCAATCTTTAAAAAATTGTAAAATAAATGTACCAAATGATAGCATCTGTCATGAACTACAGCACTCAAGAAAATGTTTATTAATCTCTATAATGAATATTCTTGCAGAACAGACCTTGCTCTGGCCCCTAATCTGACAAAGTGTACATGTAAGTCATGATCATGATGATGAAAATTTAAGCCCCCCCACCCCCTTTCTTCGTCTTGCCCTCACATTCTGGCAAAGGCCTAAAACCCTTCACTTATTAACATATGCAGAGTGAAGGTTTATTTGTAATTCTCTATGATAAAGATGTACTTGCCAGAGAGTATGTCCGTCACAATTTTTTCAATAACTGAAGTTACCGTGACTGGGTAAGTGCCTGAGGGAAGGGCAGATGGGCCTCCTCGCAAACATTGTCTTCACCTCTGGGGCATTACAGTTTATGTCAGCAGAATATCTTTTGTAACAACAACTGCAACTTTTAGTCCTCTATCAGACTATCACTTCAATTTGTGTATCCATACTGTGAAGATTAACAAACTTATTTACCACTGCTAGAAATGGCGGCCTGAAAATCACAGTACCTGACATCGCAAAAATGGACTTGTTGAATTTACAGACTATTTTATAGTCTTAGAGATATGGTTTTACATATTTTTCAAAGTTTTTACCACAGTTATATTTATCTGTTTTTTTAATCTGTTCATTGGATGCCATAACTTTCTAGTTTTTATAATATATAACAACAATATCACACAAAAAAAAAATTTACATCATATTATCAGTATACCTAAAACTGTAATTATATCTTCTCTATTTTGCAATTTTCATTCAAATACACCCCCTCAATTGATACAAAGGAAATATATCTTTAAATTATCAGCTCAATACAATGATAAGCCAGAGTGTAAAAATACAGCAATGAAGATGGATTCACTCCTGATTTCTAGATATTCAATAGAAAGCTTCTTAACCTTGAAATAATATATTTACTAAAAAAGGAAATCTTAATTGGTAATCCTTCGTGATTTATCGTAATGCTTCATTCAGAGAATATAATAATCTCATTAGAATGAAAAGCAAATTTTCGTAATTAGATAAAATAACAGAAACCGTACTCATGACCCAATTTCATTTGTGAGCCAAAGAAGTATATCAACATGAAAAGAAATTATCCCACTGCCTCGAGCTTTTCAAGGCAATCAATTTGATCGTCTTTATACAAAAATCAAACCGAAAGTTGAGCTATCGAACTTATCTGACACTCAAAATCAAAAACTAAATCAAACTCCATTCTAAATGAACACCTGAATCTAAACTGAAAAATAATTCCAAACCCAAAACAATAAGAATGTCTTTACTTCCTTCTAAGCTACAAACTAATCCATATTATGAGCTAAATTCAATTCAAAACCAGAAACAAATACCACACAAAACAGACTAGAACTATACGGACCTCAATTCACTCTAAACCAAGAACCTTGATCTTAAAACAAGAATCTAATCTACAAACGATGATCTAAACCTAAATTCCAATTCTAAACAACAAAAGCAAAACCGAAAAACAAATAAAAAAAAGTTTCTTTCGCCCCAACGCCCTCGACCGCCTCCCTGCCTCAGCAAGCTTAAAACACCCTTCTGTTTTCTTTCATTTTTTTCCGTAATTAGGGACACTTTGCCACCGTTTTCTACCGTACATGACACTTCCTTCCACTTAGCACACTTCGGATGGGAGTTTTCAGCCGCGTAAACACTGCACAGGGGACGTTGTGAAGGAAAAAACACTTTTTGTTTACAATTTCTCTCTCCAACACTACGGGAAAATGCCTTAACCTCCTTTACCTGTAATCATTTTACGTCCTTTAAGCAGGTTTAAATCCCCAAAAGACATTCCCGGCCCAACCCCCAACCCTTCCTATTGCCATTACTACAGTGCAACGAGCCACACGCCACATGATCCACGTAATTTACCTCTAAAATTGCAGAAAAAGCGTTGGTGCAGCTTAGACGCACGCCGCCATGGTGTTACCTGTCATCCG